ACCCTGAAAGAGAACCCAGGACTTATGCTGTGAAGTTGAACAGAAAGATATACACAAGGACACGCCAACATCTACGCCCGATGCAGGAAAACAATGAAGCAGAGCAAGCAGATGATCGTTCAACACAGCATCCCCACAGTGCCCCAGATGTTAACCTCAGTAAACAAATGGAAAGCAAGTCCTCAGAAGTTCCAGCAGAGTCTAATGCTATTTTGGACAAAACACCTGGGAATGGTTCATTTGAAGTGAAAAGTCAAACGACAAGATGTGGACGAGTAACAAAGGTTCCCCTACGATTCAAAGATTGAAGGACAAAATGGACATTGAACTATCCCCTGAACTTTAGAGAAACGTGAGTTTATGACATTTCTCGGTTATATTGTTGTTACTGTTCATGATCTGTTATATTTTAACATTAAGAGGGGGATGTTATAATATCCCTGTGTTATGTAATAAGAGTAGGACTAGGTCGAGTCGAGTTGTAGTCAAGATGGCCGATAACCACGAATAAACAACGTTCCAACAGTGTCTTTTAGTCCTTTAACAGTTTATATTACTTGTAATAGCAGTGTTTCATGTATATTCAAAGTAATATGAACTGACTGAACACAGGCTAACAATTATAAATATGAGTTGAAAGTAGTGTGTATTTATAAAGTCATTTTTGCTCATTTTATGGGGCTCAAAATTATATATTCTCTTAGATGGACAAAATTTAGAAAGGCTCATCAATTGCTCCCTTGTTTACCATTAAATTGACCTTGTAATTTCAAATTCACTTATTAAAAAAAGGCTTTCCATAATATTAGCAGGAATTTTAGTGGATGGATATGATGGATATGGTGCCCATTTATCTTGAAGTTGTCTGGTTTTTAATCAGTGTTAATTTGTTTATGTTGTTCACCGTTCATTTGAATGGCAACCTTCAAATTTTTAATGCCTTGGTCTCCCAGTTTATTTTTAGTTATTTTTATAGTTGTAAATCACGTTTTTCTCAATGGCTGGGTGTCATGTGTACCCATTGTAATTCAAAGAATACCTTTATCTGGAAGTATAATACACCTAATTACAAAAACGTCCTGGTATTTAGGAACTTAAAAGCTAAAATTGAGGAATACAGTAAAACCAAAACTGAACACTAATGAATTTCTGAATAGGAAAAAAAATTTTAGCAATGTTTTTCTTATTAAGTTTATCTATAGATATTAGCACTTAGCCTTGTTTTTCACTAGAAACAAGCACAGACACAAAAGTCCTTTCTCGTTGTTCTTGCGCTTGTGCTTGTGCTAGTGATAATTATACAAAAGGCACATCCTCCCAAAAGTCAACTGAAGAATTTAGAATGAAGATACCCATGCCTTTTTTTACACCTAACAATTACAAAGCAGGCTATCTACCTTCTTCGAATACTTTGTAACATTATATTTGGTGTTGATTATGTATAGTTGTGATCTATAAGTTGTAATATGCAATAACTGTTGTTTCTAACAACCACTCCTACACAGCTTGATAAGTGGCATAAGAAGAGTGGTTGCGCAATGGCTTTTCTTGCTTATGTAAACGGACAGATATATTTTGCCGGTAAGCCAATATTCGCATTTGTTCGGGCTTTTTTTGGAGAATTTAGAATTTACAATAATGTATGAAACCTTGGTTTGTAAAAGTGAAAAGGTTGGTTTCTGCCAATTCAGGCCCGTAGGTTGGGGGTTTCAGCTGGTTCGGAAGAACCCCCACTCCCCACCCCACCCACAAGCTTAAAAGGTCCGGTGTTCTCTTTTTATGGTTCTGTTGTAAAATTCTTTTGTTATGAACTGCATTTTGTTATAAACTGCTCATTCTAGCAGCCAGTCCTTACTATACACCTATTGCACTGAACTAATTTAGTTAAACATTTAATTTAGGTCGGCCGCATTATGAAAAAAACGAACCCCCCCTCCCCCCATTCCTTTTGTAAAACAGCCCACGGGCCTGCAATTGATCCCCTTTGACAGTTAGTCAAGCAGCGGGAGTGCAAAAAAGATAGATGCTGTCGAGTTACAGCGCATCGATTTCCAGTAACTACTGCGATCTTTTACCCTGCTTTGCGCTAGCTTTTGCACCCTCTTGTCTGAAAGATCCATCTATTCACATAGTAGGACATGTGTTCACCAGATGCATACTTGTCATTTGAAGGCCCTGCTTACATGGACAACTTCGCCAATCAAAAATGCGTGGTAGATGCTTTTGAGCAGACTGCGTTAAGAAGAAATGTTCAGGATAGCAGTATGTTTCTTATTCCTATATTTCCTATGTGAAGTAAGCGGATACTCAGGGGTTACCTCTTCAAGTTCAATTCTCCTTTGTGAACTGATTTTCACACTAGTGTAACTACACTGGGGCAACTGCCATCTTTCTCCGTCTCCTCGGTGTCCACTTACTTCATCAGTCTAAATCATGCTTACGGTATTGGGCAATAATCATAACAAGCAATCCCCTCCTTCCCCTTACCTTCCCACCCCCTCTACCCTCCTCATCAACCTTGATAAACGATTGCGCAATTCCCATCTAAGATATGATCAATCGGGTTTTTATTTCGCAACAGCTGAAACTGATGATATTGAGGAGGAAGTGCCTCTCCCGCTCAGCAAGGAATGGAGAAGTCTAAATATATACGGCAAAAGGCAACTGCTGATTGCACTCTACACAAATAACCGTAAGCTTTATCTCCCCGGCAACGGGTTTTTCTTGAAATAGGTGTATACTGTTATTCCGCTCGTGTTCAACTTATTTTCTCTCACTTGACTATTAATCAGACAAACTTATGTATAGCATTGTATGACATTTTGTTCATAACTGCGTCGTATTGTACTGTTAATCTATTGTTA